AAAGTCTTGACTCTTGCTGTTTGCCCAGCATGTTGTGCTGTTAACATCTGATTCATTAACTTAATTGGTTTTTCTAGATCACTTCACTGTGTCACAACCAAGTTGATAATGGGCCTTGCTTGATTTAAGATTCAGCTAACTTGCAGAGAAGATAATCCTGTAAGAGCTTTATCCTTTACCTTTCAGAACTAATTACCAAGGAATTGATGATCCAGACAGTTGTTTGCAGTTCAGACGGCTTGCAAGAAAAATCCATTCTTGAGAGTTTTCACTGTATGTACATTTTACTTCCCAAGGAAGGAATGGCAGGGTACCAGTTGGAGTTGGTAAACTGCAGCTTCATACAGTGTAATGCTACTACAACAAAAGGTGTTAAGACCTACACAAAATGTTGGGTGAAGCGGTCACTTAGTGGGACAGTTTTAGTCACTTTTACACCCCTAGTGCAAAGCATGTGGTTTAAAAGAAAAACCCTGTCTTGAGAGTTTCACTGTATTTACATTTAATTTCCCAGGGAATGAGTGGCAAGGTACCAGTTGGAGTTGGTAAACACAAATTGTTGGATGAATAGGTCATTAATAGTAGAGTAACTTTTAGTCGTTAACGCACCCGTTCCTTGCTCTGGCTTCTGCCCATACAATGGTGTATCAACGTGCCTCATTGTTGGCCTGAGGATTTTTGACCAACACCCCCCAAAACATGTAGAATATCAAGAATTAACAAATTTCTCTTATTTTGTGCAGTTTAAATGCTTTTCTGTCCATATTTCAATTTTCCCACTGAGAATCTATTTGCAAAAAGGAAAAGTTTTCTTGCATCATTGCTTAAAACTTGCATGCAACTTGTTATACAGTCTGGCTGTTTCCCACTGCTTAATTTGAACTATAGTTGATTGTCCAGGAACCATGACGGTGTCATCAAAAGGGCCATGTTTTAATGCACACACCAGGCAAGCACCACTTGACATAAAAATCAACAGGAGGTTACAGCCCACACAATGGAAATAGTGTCATGATGATGTTATCATATGATTTATTATTCAATTTTAAATATTTTCCCGTAAGGGTCGCTTGAATGAAATCAAATTGTTTTGAAGCGTTGCATGTGGGAAGGTCATACAGGTGTCATTTGCCCACTACAATGACATCAAGATGTTGTCATCAAGTGAATTTTCAACCAACTACCGTAAACTTAGTCTGTGCTTTCTGAGGGTGAATTTGATCATTTTTGCATCTCACATTTTTTAAACTCCGGGAAACTGACATATCCTCAATGATTCTTCACAAGTACCTTTAA